TCAGCACCTTCGACCGGGACCAGGACCGCTGGGAGGAGAGCTGCGCGGAGATGTATGGGGGTGGCTGGTGGTACAACAGCTGCCAAGCAGCCAACCTCAATGGCATTTACTACCTGGGGGGCCACTACGACCCCAGATACAACATTCCTTATGAGATCGAAAATGGCGTGGTCTGGCTGCCATTTAAAGCCTCTGACTATTCCCTCAAAATCGTTAGAATGAAAATCAGGCCCATAGAAACCCCGTAGAAAGACAGGCTTTTAATATCTATTTTAATATCTATTAATATCAACTACAAGTTGAAAAGATTTTTTTATATATGTATGTGCATGATGTACCTTTACCCTGTGAATTTGAAGGCAACTGGGCACATCTGTGGCTTAAAAAATAAACACTGATTAATTATCAACAAAGTAGTTCTTTGGTCTTATTTATAACTGACAAACCTTTTCAAGGAAATATTGATTTTAAAGCCCTTTTTATATAAACTTTGTCTACATCTTCGACTATGTCTTTGTCTATGTCTATGTCTTTAGCAGCTCACGCCTTGACTGGAGATAAAAATATTTATAATTTGAATTATGTACTTTGTTTAAGAGTGCTAAAGAAGTAAAAGAATTTAAAAGTATGTTCACCACGAACTCCTGCCTCCACTGACATGAACCATGAAAGTCTGACCGAGTTTGACAGTCATGCTTCTGGGCTGTCTCCTCTCATTTCCATTTTGAGGGGAGCACAATAGTGGCGGGAGTCAGTTCTCAGGCAGAGCCATACATGGTTTGGGTTCTCACTTTTGCCACACACCTGACGTGTAGTACACTTTGATAAGTGATGAATGCGATTTAAGACTGACTTTTAAGGATCTCCTAAGCTTTGATTTTACAAATATGGAGGTAGACTTTCCATCCCATTGATGAATTCTAGGTAGTGTGCCATGCATGCTGTAGCTTCAAAATAAGACAGTTCATGATAACTCATCAAAATACAACTCCCAAAACAGGCTATTATTTTATAGTGAGCACTAAAAGGTTATGACTGTAACCAGCACAAGCAAGATGAGGAGCACCCGTATGGCTATAGTGTATATTTCCTTGGTTTAGAATGTTTCTCGCCATGGGTCAAGCAAAGATTCTTCTACAGATAAGGGGATTAAATCAGCAACTTGCTGACAGTGTGTGGTAAGGATTTTTTAGCAAAAAGCTGGCTGCATGGAAAAACAGTTATATTGGTTACACAATTACACAAGAACATACTGTATATACCTTTATACCTTATGACATAAAATTACACAAGTATTTACTCTGTTTAATATCTCTGTGTTTCTGTTGAGAAACAAGCATGAGCAAACTTCCTTGCCTCCAATCTCACTGGCCAGCATGTTTCCTACCGTTTGACAATATCATCAAATACTGGCGAAGCAGCTCACTTTTAGCCTTTTTTAAGTGCTTCTCAAACACACTCACTGTCTAACATTTTTGGAGAGTTTGCTGAAGAGCAAAGACATCTTTATAGCCATGTGCAGAGAAGCATCTGTGCTTTTGGAAAAGGTGATTCTGCTTTACACCTATCATAGAATCATAGAATCATAGAATCATTAAGGTTGGAAAAGACCTCTAAGATCATCGAGTCCAACTGTCAACCCAACACCACTACGCCCACTAAACCATGTCCCTAAGCGCCTCATCTACACGTCTTTTAAATACTTCCAGGGATGGTGACTCAACCACTTCCCTGGGCAGCCTGGTCCAATGTTTAACCACTCTTTCAG